CCCGACCTCAGGGGCCCCCTTCCCCATAATGCCCCATCCCCCTTCCCTGCAATGCCCCAGGGGCCCCCTTCCTCACAATGCCCCAGGGGCCCCCTTCCCCATAATGCCCCATCCCCCTTCCCTGCAATGCCCCAGGGGCCCCCTTCCTCACAATGCACTGGGGGACCCTTTCCCCAATTTTTTTGTTGCGGAGCAACAAAGCAGGGAGTTTGGAGGAGTGTGAGGGGTGGGGCACAAAAGGGAGGGAGACTGGTCGGTGGAGGAATGCCCCGCCCCCCCACGGCACTCTGGGACAGAGCACACGCCAGCAGTAGGGCTCAAGGACCTCTCTCCCCTCCAGCAAACCCGACTCAGGAGTAGGGGGTGGTAGCTCCCCAGGCTCCAGCGCCTAGTCCCCGGCATCCTCTCACCTACCAGAGCTGCCCCCTCCCCTGCCCTGAGCTCCCTTCTGGCACGACTACGAGTTGCAAGGCAGGGCAGGTCTCGGCTTACCTCCCCCTCTTGGGGAGCGGAGGTGCAGACTGGCTCACCAGTCAAGTGCCCCGCTGGGAGCTGTCCCCGCTAGCCAGGCTCACCCAGAATCCGCTGCCTCTTCTCGGCCGCCGTGAGGTTGAAGACGTTGGTCTGTTTGCCGGCGTCAGGCCGGTAATAGGTCTCGATCTCGATGGAGAACTTCTCCACAAAGGGGCAGGTGTACCTGGGAGGTGGCAGAAAGGAGGGAGCGGGGGGATGAAATAGGCAGTTTCTCCCCTGCCCGCCTGTCCCACCTCCACCTCTGCCTCACTCTCCCCCCATCCCGCCCCACTCGGCCCTAGTCCCACCCCACACTGCTTCTCCCCTGGTCTTGCCCCCATCCTTGCCCTGCCCCAGCTACGGGCTGACCGGGCGACAGCCGGGGGCGCCCGATTGTGAGGGGCGCCGCGTGGTGCTGCCAGGCCGGGTGGGGGCAGGGGCAGTGCTAAGGAAATGGGGGGTTGGACAGGGAATGGGAGGCACCTGCCCTAGGGCTGTCAGTGCAGCATGAGGTGGGGCCCACAACGAAGGGGGCTGTCCCCTGCTCTGTGCCTGCTCCCTGGCCCTGCGAGGGATTTGGACAAGCACACAGAGAGCAGAGAGCAGGCTAAGAAAGCAGCCCTTGAATACAGCTACCAATGTTCCACAGCTCCCTCCCCGCCTCCTGGGTGCCCCTCCGCTGGCCTTACACGCCCCCTCCCCGTGCCCGCCGTGCGGCACCTGGTGCGCGTGTAGGGGTAGGCGTTCCACGACTCCTCCTCCACCTGCAGGGCAGCCTTGGGCAGCAGGGCCCGGAACCAGCTGGGGATGTGGGAGCCCACGTGGTAGATCTTGTGGGTGTACTGGCCGTTGCCTCCCGGGCCGTCACTGTAGGGCCGGTTGGCCAGGATCTCGACCCCGCTGCCCTCGCCGCTTGACTCCTCCCGGCTCTTCTTCTGGAGGGGAGACACTGAGCCATTGGCTCCGACCTGGGCCCGGGCGCCTGTCTCATCCCAATCAACACCCCTCCTCCCAGCCCTCCCAGACAGACAGCCCCAGCCCCTCACCTGGATCATATAGAGCTGGGCCACCTGGTACTCCTCCAAGGTCATGGGCAGCAGGATGTGATACTCTTTGATGAGCATGGCGATGGGTGGGGCCTGCAGAGGGGCAAAGAGTTAGAGCCCCACTGCCCCTCCCCCATGTCTCCCCAGGGGGCCACCCTTGCCCCTCCCCACTCCTTTCTGGCTGCAAAGCCCTGGGATGGGGGATGGGGGATCAAAGCAAATCTCCATGTGACCTGCTTAAAAATCCATCCTGCCTGGTACGTTTCTATGGTGATGTGGGGGGGGGAGGGGAGCAAGAGGCTGGGAAGGGGCATTTCCTGCTGTCAGCACCTCTCGCGTCCACTGTGCCCTGCCCGGCATCATCAAGGGTCAGGCCTGGACTTCTGGGTCCCAACCCAGGCAAGGGTGAGACTCTGTCCAGCTCCAACCCCCAAATTGGATGCTGCTGGAAGTCCAGGTCGTGGGGTCCGAGAGCTGCTCCTGGAGCCAAAACGTACAGCAACCCCCACCTGGGCACCAAACCCGTCCCTGTCAACCCTCACCTGCACCAAATTTCCCCCCTCACAAGCCCACCTGGGGCCTGGGCACCCAACAGTCCCCCCACAACCCTGGCCTGGGACCTTTTGGTGCCCCCCGCAACTCCCACCTGAGGCCGGAGCATTAAACCTCCCCCCTCACCTGGATCCAGGGCTCCAAATTTCCCCCTCCCCCTGCACAACCTTCACCTGGGACTTGGGTACCAAATATCCTATCTTCCCCCCTCACAAGCCCACCTGGGGCCTGGGCACCCAACAGTCCCCCCACAACCCTGGCCTGGGACCTTTTGGTGCCCCCCGCAACTCCCACCTGAGGCCGGAGCATTAAACCTCCCCCCTCACCTGGATCCAGGGCTCCAAATTTCCCCCTCCCCCTGCACAACCTTCACCTGGGACTTGGGTACCAAATATCCTATCTTCATCGTTCCCCTATGGGGCCTGGGAAGCAAACCTCCCCCCCCACACACAGCCCCCAACTGGAACCTGGGCACTAACCCTATCTTCCCCTTGCCTGGGTCCGCCTGGGCGCCAATCCTCCCCAAATTCCGCCTAAGCCCTGGGAAACAACTCCCCCGCAACCCACATTTGGGGCCTG